TTGTATGCTAGTCAATTAGGGTTTATTGCTTTGGTATTCAATGTTGTATGTTTACTTAGAAAACCTAGATCAAAGCAATTAGGGTTGCATGAACACCATAGGATTGATGTTTTTCTCATAACCCAACACAAAGTGGCAGTCAATTTCCACATGTTTTGTCCTTTCGTGAAAAACGAGATTCTTAGCAATATGAATAGTAGCTTGGCTATCACAATGAACTGGAACAGGTGTAAGATTAGGGACAGTAATCTCATGCAATAAGCGAGTTAACCAGGCCAACTTAGTAGTGACACGACACATGCTTCTATATTCTGCCTCTGCGGATGAAAGAGATGCTGTGATTTGCTTCTTTGATTTCCAAGTAATTGGACTATCACCAAGCAAAATGACAAACCCACTTACACTTCTTCGAGATTGTGGACATTAAGCCCAATCTGAATCGCAATAGGTATGTAAAGTGAAATCATCACTATTATACATGAACAAAACTTGATTGGGATCATTATTGAGGTATTTGAGAACATGTTTAGCAGCATCAAAATGAGGTATTCGAGGGTCATACATAAACTGACTTAATAGTTGAACAGCAAAGGAAGTTCAATTTACCAACCAATCTTCGATAAGTTTCTAGTGATTGCATAAGATCTCCTTGTCCTTGTAATAGTTTGATATTGGTGGGAAGAGGACAAGAAGCATAATCAGTGCATTCGAACTCTTTCAACAAGTATTGAGTGGATTTTATTTGAGTTAAAATAACACCCGATGAAGTGTATAATACCTCAATACCCAAAAAGAAACTGAGGGATCCCAAATCTTTTATTTTAAAAGTCTTATCAACATGTGATTTTAACTTTGTAATTTCCTCTTGATTATTTCATATTACCATGATGTCATCCACATACACAGCAACAAAAGTAACACTTGAACCCATGTTTTTGTGAAAAAGAGAGTAATCATTTTTGGAATTTTGATAACCCATATCTTTAAGAGCAGAAGAAAGTTTGGCGTACCACTATCGTGACGCCTGTTTTAAGCCGTACAATGACTTCTGTAATTTGCAAACTTGATTAGTATTAGAAAGTTTCAATCCCAGTGGAGGTTTCATGTAAATGTCTTCATGTAATTCCCCATGAAGAAAAGCGTTATTTACATCAAGTTGATCTAATTTCCAACCTTTATTGACTGTTGTTGCAATTAATGCTCCAATGGTTGTCATTTTTACAACCGGAGAGAATGTTTTTGTATAATCAATCCCAGGTTTCTGAGTAAAACCCTTGACAACAAGCCTTCCTTTGCACCTTTCAATGTCCCCATTTGCTTTGTATTTCACTTTGTAGACCCAAGGACAGCTTATAGGTTTCTTTCCCTTAGGAAGATCAACTAAAACCCAAGTGTTATTAGCCTCTAATGCCTCAAACTCTTTTGACGTAGCATCCCGCCATTCAGGAATAAAATTTGCTTCTTCAAAGTTGGTAGGTTCAGAAATTTTATTCATATTCATGACAAGGTTTTTACTTTGATCAGAAATAGTAGTAAAACAAACATGTTTTGGTGTAGAGGCTTGAGTCACATTGTGTAGACATGAAAAGAAAGAATAACATGATTTTGAAGAATCATGACATGATGCATTGGTGCAAACAAAATCTTTTAGGTGAGTTGGTGGTTTAATAATTCTAGTTGAGTGTCTAAGAAGAGGTTGTTGTGGTATTGGTTGAGGTATAGGTATATCATCTCTTGAATGAATGTTTGATTGAGAGGTAGTTGATGATGAAGGATTATGGTCTTCATCATAGTGAAAATTCATGCTTTGAGGAAAGAAAGACTCATCAACAGAATCTTTAGATGGATATGGTAAAATATGTTCGTGAAAAATAACATCTCTAGAGACCAAGATCTGTTTGGTTTCAAGATTATACAACTTGTAACCCTTTTTCCCAAAAGGATAGCCAACAAAAATACATGGTACTGTATGTGGCTTAAATTTATCTCTATTACGTTGCAGGGTACTTGAAAAACATAAGCAGCCAAAAGTTCGAAGAAATGAGTAAGAAGGTTGAGTTCCATGTAACAGAAAATAGGGTGATTTTACTTTTAATAACTTGGAAGGAAAACGATTTATAAGATGAGTGGCTGTAAGTACACAGTCACCCCAGAATTTCAATGGAAGTTTGGATTGAAACAACAAAGCTCTATATGTTTCAAGAAGATGCTTATGCTTGCGCTAGACAACCCTATTTTGTTGAGGGGTATGTCTAAAACTAGTTTGATGAATGATTCCTCTTTCTTGAAAGTAAGCAATGGCTTCATTACTAGAACCTAGTTCAAAAGCATTATCGGATCGAATAATCTTGACACTTTTATGAAATTGGGTTTTGACCATTTCAATAAAACCTTTAAGAACATTGAAAGCATTGCTTTTGGTGCTTAACAAGTGGTTCCATGTTGAACGAGTATAATCATCTACAATGGGTAAGAAATAAGACTTACCATTGTAGGTTTTAGTATTGTACGGATCCCATGTGTCAATATGGATGAGATCAATGATGAAGAAGTATGAATAAAGCTATGACTAAATGGAAGTTTATGTTGTCTAGCTTTTGGACAGATTTCACAAACATGATTAAATTCAACATGCATATTCTTTAGAAATGGTAGAGTTTTCAACTTGTACAAAGGGAGATGTCCAAGTCTCTTATGCCATAGAGAAAACAAACTATCTTTTGACAAGTTTCTACAAACATAATTGGAAAAAATAACAGAAGGATCTGTACGAACATTTGAAGTGACTGATAGAGCAATGCCTTTGTTTGAATGTGTATTGGAATGAAGAAAGTATAGGCCATCTTGATGTCTACCAAGAACCAGAGGCCTCTTCAGAGAAGGGCCCTGCAACAAGAAGCAAAATTGGTCTGAAAACACAACCAATGATCTCAAATCTCGACATAATTTGCTTATGGACAACAAGTTGAATTTGAAATGGGAACATAAAGAACATTATGCAGGACAACATTTTCAGCTAGAATGATGCTACCAACCTCCTGTGCACTTATCTTTTGTCCATTTGGAAGAGTGATATGAAAAGGAAAAACAAGAGTTTTGATCTGAAATAACAATGATCGATTGTGGCACATGTGATCACTAGCTCCGGAATCAATAATCCAAGTAGTAGATATTGTGACCAAACAATGACAACTGATAGAATGATTTTGGGGCAGAAAAACATTACCAGCGAAATTGACACTTGGATGATTTGTAGAAGATGAACATTGAGAAGTATTGGCTTGTGAATCATTTTTGTTTGCTTCTGATCCTTTGCTTGCAAGATTCATGTTTCTAAACATTGAAAAGAACTGTTGATATTGTTGGAGCTGTTCATTTGTGAGATTAGGAAATGCATGAGTAACAGAATAAGAGTTTGGTTGATTTTCAGCAACATAAGGTTGGAATTATTGGAGCTGTTCACTTGATGGAAAGCCAACAACATTAGCATAAGCATTTCTTCCTTTGGTGAACTTGAATCCTTAGGAAAACCGATTAATCGATAGCATTTATTGGCATTATGACCAGGCTTCTTGCAGAAATTGCACGTAATAGTTTTCTTTCCCTCAAAATTGTTCTTGTAATGATTAACTCCAGACTTGACATTCATTGATGCAGATTCTAATAAGAAGTGAGATAAAGAGTGTACCTCTCGTTGTTTTTCATCCTGAATCAGAAGAGCATAAGCTTGAGCAACAGAAGGAAGAGGTTTCATTAGAAGAATACTTCCTTTGGTTGATCCATAATCGGCATTCAATCCCATGAGAAACTTAATCAGCCTTTGATTTTGCTGACTTTCTTGAATTGTGTGTGCAGCACCACAAGTACAACTTGGAATCGAGGATAGGGCGTTTAATTCGTCCCATTGTTTCTTCAATTTGGTGAAATAGGTGGCCAGATCATCAGATCCTTGAGTTAGGTCAGAAATTTCCTTTTGAAGATGATACAATTTTTCTCCGTTTGATTGTCCGAATCTATCATCGAGATCGTCCCAAATAGCCTTCACGGAGGATTATTAAACCACAGATTCAACAATATCATTGGTTAGAACATTGAGAATCCAGGAAGTAACCATGTCGTTACACCTCTGCCATAAGTCGAATGTTTCATGATCAGAAGAAGGCTTAGAAACTTTGTTGTTCACAATACCTAGTTTATTTTTAGCGGATAAAGCGATCATCATAGCCTTTTTTCCATGAGTTGAAATTCGAACCATCAAGATGTTTGGAGACTAATTGCATCCCTGGATGATCCAAAGGATGAAGATACAAGGGAGACTATTGGCTCAACAATTCAATGGTGGCTCTCATTGGCTACTCTCTCTCTCTCTCTCTCACTAGTGAACACCATCCCCAATGCTAGTAGACATGTAGTGGAGCAGTTATTTAAATGATGAACACCATCTCCAATGCTAGTAGACATGTAGTGGAGCAGTTATTTAAATGATGTAGCAGCCCTTAAATGCGTAATAATCTCAAAACCATACCTTTTAGCCTAAGAGTTTAGTCAACTCTACTCTTCAGTTCAGACTCGGTAACAATGAGAACACATTTGGTTTTCTGCTTTCATAGGATTGGAAGTTGTATATGGTCACTGCTCGTCAGTTTATCGACTCCAAAATTACCATTAATTATGTCCATTGGGTATCAACCACCCACTCGCTTAACCCAAGTTAGTAAGGAACTTTTTCAGATTTAAATTTGTTTCGTTGTTGTGATTTGTCAAAACACCTGTGTACCATTTTCATTTTTCAGACAAATGGACAAGTTTTATACTATTCTAAATGGACCACATTTTGTTAATGGACGCTTTATTCTGCTACTTGGATTCTTCCAATTTGTAATAAAGCTTCTCACATAATCAACTAGAGTCCAGATGCGCTCAAATTTTGGTTTGGGTCAGAGAGAGATGCACAAGAGTTAGATTTAGTTTTGAGATTAAGAAACAAAGAGTTATAAATTCATTCGAGATGTACAATCAAAATGAAGAGTATTAATAATAAGTAACACAAGACAGCTAACTCCTCCTTAGTCCTTCCTTTTTCAGCAAATCAATGGAAAGAAGCTTTGTTTACACTTACTTGTAACAACACACTTACTTCACTTTCACTTTCACTTCTTCTTTAAAGTTAGAAGCCTCTTTCTCTTCTCCTTGGAACACCAAAATTTTATATTTTTTTATTCCTCCCTCCTTACTTTTCTACTTGTCACCATCTCTCCCTTGAGTTAGGCCTACAACAAAATGCAAAGATTAGCAACCAACATAACATCAGTAGTTGGCCATTGATAATAGCAACACACACACTTACATTTCTTCACCCCAACATACTTTATTTTTTAACATATAATAATTGTAGTAACATAATTGCAACAATTTACCTGGCAAGATCAGTGTTACCCAAAAAACCTCTATCTTTTCCAGTTCCACCAAAACCTCTTCTTCTGTCGTCACGGGATTGAGGCCTCTCTGAAAAGTCAACACTTCTGGATTCATCAAAGGAACCAGATTGAGAGGGTGGTCTTCCTGCTCCAGAACCTGGTCTTTCAAAGCTCTTTTGACTGAACCGAAGTTTATCATCCAGATCATGGCTTAACTGTTCCAGTTCCCTTTCTTTCTCAATTATCATATCATGTAACTCTACATTTGAAGGAGACTCTTTCTCAAACTCCCTTCTCAAATTATCTATTTCTTCCTTTAAGTTTTTTTCTGCCTCTGTCTCCGACCTGAAAATTTATAATTCATTGTCTTCTCAAATTATCTCATCAAGCCAGTTTCATATAAACAAAGATATATAGGTTCTCGAATATTTGATGTAAAAGATGTTTTGATATCATATCATATGAATAATGAGATAGATTCTTTAGATATGAGATATAGATGATACATGTTTTGCTAAGTTTTAGAAACTATTGAGGTAAAATTAGTATTACATTAAGACAAGTAACATAATAGGAATAACCAACTATGAAAGATTATTATGACAATTTAGCAAATTCTAAATCAAAAAGTTGTACACATGTAATTGTTGTGTAATAAACAATGGAAATATCTTAGTACTTGATATAAGATTATATATTCATGAAATACATTGAATAACAGATACTTATTTGATATAAATATGTATACACCAATTTACTAAAGAATTATAAACATATAAGTAATAAGATAAATACAAGATATTCAAGCAATGGATGACATGTTTGGGGAAACGAAAGAGAAATAAGAGAAGACAAACTTGTAAAATGTTAGGACTAAGATGGAATAAAGAACTGAAGTGAGAAAAAAAAAAGATATGTGAATAGAAAGAACCAAGAATCAAGAATTTAGAATCTACTTAAAGCAATTTGACAATGAATGCCATATAAATGCACAAGCATCACCTATGCAAGTAAATCCACCTAAAATAAAAATCATTCTGTTGAACCAAGGATTTTTTTAGGGTAAAGCTATGTGGGGCCTCCACATAAATAAAGCTCAGGCTGATAGTAATGTGTGGTCAAGTACACATGAAGCATTAAGCTATTATGTCCAAAAGAAGCAAAAAAACATAAAGGAGTTCTTGAGCATTTCTATAGCAAAACATGTTATACATTAAAATTTGAAAAGCATTCATAACTTTTAATATATTATGAAGGATTGGAGCTCCCAGTTTAAGTTCAATTTTATGCTTCTTGCTAGTGCACTATAAAAACATAGAAACTGTTAATGTATAACATGTTTTGCTATAGAAATGCTCAAAAACTCCTTTAAGTTTTTCATGTTTTCTTGCCTTCCAAATGCTTAAAAAATGTATTTAATCAAAACCTTTGCAGATACATTGTAACCCAGGAACTTATGAAACTGACAGTATCAATAAATCAACTATTTTTCATGAGACCATATTCTCAATGTTCTCAATAATGCATCACAAGAACTGCACTTGACCATCTTAGACATAAAGAACAAACAAAGCATAGAACTCATATTAACAATCAAATACGTTGAGATGATAGAAGATGGTTTCATGTTAGACTCAAACTATACAGGTCAAATTTATATAATTCCATGCACTCAAAGCAATAAACTAAGTTCCCAAATAACACATAGGCGAGTGTTTGGCAAAATGGAATCAAGTAGTCCTGTGATTTTGTGATACAAGTATTTGTTAAGACAATAACTTGCTTGATAATGATATTCTTCACAGCTTTAATAACTGTATAACCTTTAAATCCCCACTTAAGGTCTCACCTCAGCCACAAAAATGGCTTTTACAAAGACAGAAATTCAAGATATATTTTGGTATAGTTTCTTAATGACCCATTGGACACCAAGTTCACAGTGTCAATAGCGTTAAGTAGAAGTGACAGTAAAAGATAAGATTATAAGATATAGTATTAGAACCTGCCAAGGCGCCGCCGCTCCAACTCTGAATCAATCTTCCGATAATCAACACCTTTCTCCTGAAGCAAGACTTCCCGAGGCTTAGCATCACCGAAAGGATTCACCTTAGGCCTCGGCTTCTCTAATCCCTGTAATGAAACTGAACCCTCTGCAGACCTCCCAGAATGTGCACTCCCAGGCCTGCTGTTAGAATGAGAGCTTGTGGGTCGACTGTTGATTTTCTTAGCTTCAAGTTCTAAATCCGCTTTCTTCCAATCCAAACCTTTCTCGGCCAATATCTCTTCTCTCGGCCTTGCATTCCCAAAAGGATTTGGTTTATTCGTCTTGACGATGGGCTGAGTCAGAGAACTTTCACCCTTAGGTGGATCGAGTACCAAACGGCGGCGCTCTGGTAGCCGTTCCTGGTTGCCATCGCGAGGCAAAACTCCCCTACTCCAACGGTCAGGTTCAGGTCCTCCAGAATCACGAAAACCAGAACCGAAGTTAGAGGATCTAGCAGGTGGTACAGGCTTCTTATTCATTGCCCAATTGTCAATCTCATCAGCCCTAGAAAATCCCCCTCCTCCTCCTCCTGCGCTAAGACCGCCGCCTCCACCAAGAGAACTGTAGCGGTTAGGTCTACTACCAGCATCAAATGAAGGAGTCATAGGTTTCTTCGCCATTGCCCAATTATCAACCTCATCAGCCCTAGATGTTTGTTCGTATTCCGGGCCCCGAGAAGGCGGACCTCTACGATCATCATCAAATCCACCGTAAGATCTCCGATTATTCCCCCATGAACCGTCACCATCGGCTTCTCTATCCCTCATCCTAGGACCTCCGCCAGACCGACCGCCTCCGTACGACGAGAAACCACCGCCTATCCTCCCGTATTGCATTTCTTCTGCAGACCGCTCTTTCGGCCCGGTCGGAAGCCGCATCATCTCTTCAGGAGTCAATCCTTTCTGCTCGAAAGCCAAGTCTCGGCGCGAACCTCCACCACCGATACCTCCAGCTCCGCCCATCGTGAACTCCTGCAAGGTCATCTTCGTCTTTTTCTTCCCTTTGTTAGTGTTCACCGCCTCTTTCAAGCTCGGATAACTCTGTGGTGGAGCAGCCGCGGCTGCCGCCGCTGCTGCGGCCTCTTGTTCTTTCTCTTCGGCCTCTGCACGCTCCGCTTCCGCCGCCCAGGCGCCGATATTCCCCCATATTTTCGACATTCTAGATCTTCCAGATCTCAAATCAAACAAACTCGTAGAACCAGATTCACGAGTATCAACTACTTGATGTGTTTTGTAAAAACAGCGATCACTCCGACGAACGATGGAGATGTGTGGTGGTTGGTGGTGGTGGCAAGGGCGAAAGGGAATAATCTGCAACAGCTATGTTGCTAAAATGCGGTTTTCGGAGTTTTCAGAAAGAGAAAGTAAGAGAAGAGAGAGAAAGAAGGAGTGAGGTAGTGACGCGCGTAGAGAGAGAGTGTAAACACGTACATACGGATGAAGCTTAAGGAACAATACTAGCCGCACGATTGCCCGTGAATGTTCGTGCGAGAGTGAGCGCGTGAAGTAGGTGATTTGACTGACGTGGCAATTTTTTATTTGTCAGACGTGGGTACAGAGATTAGTGTGTGAAAAGTAGTAAAGCATCAAGGCTAAGCAACAGTCGCTGTTTTTGGATGAATTGCCTTTCTGGTCCTTATATTCTAATTTATCTTCCATTTGAACCCTTACAAAGAGTTTGACAAATGACAAATTTAATGAATGATAAAGTCGTACTCACTTTAAATTTTAATTTTCGACTATTTTTGTATATGTTAATAATTTTTTTGGTCTAAAGTACACTAATTATATATTTATTTATCATCGTACAACGAGTGAGATGACAAACGGGTAATAAACTGAACCGCTAAGCCTTTTTGTATGGTAAAACTAATTCTTTTGATGACTACATCCATAGATCTAGGGGATATAACATTGATATGCATGATCCGTTGTACTCTATTAAAAAGCTTCACCGCATCCGGCACGAAGAAACCAAATATATCAAATGCAAATGGTATGAACACGTGTTGATTTTCCATGCACGATTTCTAATGTTTGGTGACTTTGTCTATAGCAGCTTTTAAAGCAGTCTGCCCCGCCGTGAAACCCCCAGCCCTCAAGCCCACGAGAGAGGATACCCCTGTAAGGTCTACACATGTGTGTTTCCCTCCGACCCATCCAAAAATCAAAACATCAGTCGATCTAAAGGTTGACCTTCCTTCTGTCGGATCAACCAAGAAATTCACAGGTGCCTTTTTCTTGGCGGAAACCTCGGCACGCTTAAATATGTCAAACAAAACATCCCTAACCATATTGTGCCTGTATTTGAACCCGGGGAGTTCTTTACAGTGAACTACATGCTCTCCAAAAGAGTTCAAACATGCCTTGCGAAACACCGGACATATCTCGTCAGCTGAGAATATTGGAATTATGAGTCGATATTTGAGGACAGTACGGTACTCTACAGGAGACATATGTTGGCCAAGCCCATCTATAGGGATAACTAGAAGAAAACCTTGAGCATGTGGTGCACGTAAGCATTGGAAAACCACTTTCTGTCGAGTCATCATGTCAAGATGCACTTCCATATCTTGGATAAATTTACGAAAAATGGCACTCACCAGTGTATTCTGGGATTTAGGGGGCGGTGTCTTTAGTAGTAAAGTTGTTAAGGTCGATATCCAGAAGCTTGTTACGAAGAGAAGCCAATGCACAGTCATAATCAGAATCCATACCATATATGTCGTTATCCCGTAAGATGTGGTCTTGAAATACCCAAGATTGGGCCCTTGAGGCAAAAAAAGCATATGAGGTAGCCTCTACTGCCAAGTATAAACCTAAACCACCAAACCTAATGGGTAAGGAAGCAATTCGTCACTGTATGTCGCCAAAGAAAGGGCCACCACAAACCACAATGTTCTCAATCGCCCCGCGCAACCCATTGTCAAAGAATAATGTCGTCTCCTCCATGTGAACGGGTAGGCACATCCTCAGCCTAAAGAAAAGCTTAGCAACACCCATACAAAGACCGAAGCAGAAGGAGCTCACTATGGGGGTCAGAAAATTGTGGAATAAGGCGCATCAAATTCACAACATTTTCGGCTCTCTTTATGGCTAAGCTGCTAAATAAATTAGCATCTCTACTAACATCTCCCCCAAGAAGTTTCACCCCCAAAGGCGGCCTCCCGATGCCAGCCAGGAATAGCCCCTCACGTAGTTTCCTACCATCACATGAGGGCCAAAAGAGCTTGGTTTTCTTGATATTCAGCTGAAGGCCCACTTTTTGGCCAATCACTATAATGATGTCCAACGCTTTGGCCACCTCCTCCGAATCTCCAATAAGTATGCCATCATCAAGGTACCATGCATGGAGAAGAAGCTTGCAATTGTCTCTAATATTATGCAATAGCGGGTGCAACACAAGGGAAAAGAGAAGTGGTCCCAAGGGGTCTCCTTTATGTGTTGCCTAGCTAGATACAACCTTGCTGCTTGACCATATAGGAATTCTACCCACAAGGATATAGAAGGACACCTCAATCTAACCTCATGAAGTAATGCAGATTTGTCGACAAGGTTAAAGGCATTAAAGAAGTCCACAGTAAGCATGGAAAGAGATCCGTCATCATGGCGCTCACTCAACACCCTATTGGCGCTATGTAATACGGCCTCAACGCCACCCGACACCCTGAATCCGAACTAAAAATCATTGGGATACTTGACCATTTATTTACCAACACCTTTCATAGCTAACTTGGAAACCAAACGTCTCCATATAGTGCCTACTGCAATAGGTCATATTCCTTTTGTCAAGTTTGAAGAGCGACGTGATAGGAGCAGAGGCAACAAATTCTGCCAAACTCGAAGGGCATCTTCACCCTAGCCATAGATTAACCACATATGTAATAGCACGTAGGAGGTCTTTGGCTATAGATGAACCTTCTCCACAAAGAGCATCCAAAATGTGTTGATCTCTCAACCCGTCTCTCCCACACGAGGTACCTTTAGGGAATGATTTAATTCCCCCAAGGACATTGTTAACATCCACTACAAAGGGAGGTTCTGAAAATATGGTGTTCGACATGGAAGGTGGTGGCTTGTATGGATACTTATCCTCAAATACCTTCGTAGTATCACCCCCAAATGGAGCAACCCCCGAAGAACATAAAACTTTCACTACCGCTATAAAATGTTCATCGACAACCTTACAAAGACATTGTCTGACATTGGTGTTGCCCAGTGTTCTTTCCTATTGACTGTACTCTTCTTTTTTGCCTTGTTGCTCCAGTATTGCATTGTCAAATAAGTTTTTAACTAGCTTGGCGATACCGTCTTCAATCCCTCAAGTAGCTAATGTGCTCATGATATTACGATGTTGCAACGACTTCCCTGTTGCCAGAACTACTTTCTTGCCTATTCTTGGGCCTGAACACCTGAAGAGTACACCTATGAAGAATTAACAAAACAACCCACGTTTCAATGGACCCGAGATGAGCAACCACCTTGGAAAGGGTTGCTTTCAAAGCTTGAGAGAAAGTCATATGACAGTGTTGAGGGATGCTTTTGACGGTGGTGATAGGTAGTTTAAAAACACGATCATTGTTAATAATTAGTTTAATTTTTAGACAAAAATGCAAGAATAGTCTTTATGTTTAGCTGAAAAATATTACTTTGGTCAAAACAAGTTTGGACTAGCACGAATGGTCTAAACGTTTTATTTTGTTACGAGTTTGGTCCAATTTGGCTTAAACTGTTTTTTATAAAGTCGTTTTTCCCTTTATTATTTAATTTTCCATTTTTCTTTTATTACATGAATTAAAAAACAATTAAAAATAAAACAAAAATAAAATACCCTTTCTCTCATTAAAAAAACAATTAAAATTTTGTATTTCTCTCTCTACTCGCCTCGTTAACATCTTTGGAGATTACAACCCACACGTAGATGCTTTGAAGATGGAGTTGCAGGTGTAACCGACCTCATTGTCTAGCCTATGTCAAGTTCGATCACTAGACTCCTCACTATCACTCGACTGTGATGAATCTCAAGGTCATTGGAGCACAACAAACCCTAGGGTCATCTCCATCTTCATATATAGAAATATGAAGCTCCGGTTTACAACGGCTCGACCATCGTCTTCGTAGAGTTGTAGATAAATCTCGAGGTCATCCGGATCTGGAATGTTAACAAATATATGGATTCTTCGTCCTCCCACCCAAACGATGCTAAGGATTAGGGTTTCTAATGGTGGCGATTGTTAGCATTTCTAATGGTAGTGGCGACGATGTTGAACTCAACTTCGTTTAAATACGAAGGGCGGCTTTCAGATCAGAGGTTAGAGCGATAACGTGAGGCGTTCCTGCGTAAAGGGTCATGTCTTCATTCAAAGACGAAGGGTGGCGGCGATAGGGTTTTCGTCGGTGATGGTGGCTTTCATAATCATTAATGAGGTGGTGGTGATGACGGTTGTTGTCGTAAAATCAATGTTGGCGGTGGTGTTGAACTGGTGGAGATTGTTTATGGTGGTTGCCTGAAAATCCGACCAATGGTGGTGATTTCCGATAGGTGGTGGTGGTTGTTCATATTTTTCCGGTAGGTGATATGAAAAATGTAGAAAGAGAGGGAGGTGTGGTGGGTTTTTTTTATGGTTTTTGTAATAAAAAAGGGAAAATACAAAGGGCAAATATGTCTTTATAAAAAATTTTGAAAATTTTGGACAAAACTCAAAACAAAATCAAACTTTTGGACCACTGGTGGTGGTAGTCCAAACTTGTTTGGACCAAAGTGGCAATTTTCGACATACCATTCTTGCAATTTTATCTAACTTTTATCAATCATTTTTCAATTAAAATCCAACAAATATCCAAAATATAATGTTTGAATTTGCATGATATTTTTAATACAATTTTTTAAAATGTCCATGACACTTCAAAATATCCAAAATGCTTAAAGAAGTATACGAAAGTAAGTGGTTTTCCAAAACTATTCTAACATTGCATTTTGTAGCATCCCGAAATTTCAGGTATCATATTTAAGCGATTTATATTCATTATGACAGAGCGACTCGACGAGTTGGGTGCCCAACTCGGCGAGTGGAGACGGTTTTGGCCACGTGAGTTTAGTGACCAACTCGACGAGTTGAGAGACCAACTCAGCGAGTTGGAGCTGTTTGGAGAAACCCTAATTCCCCGGGTTTGTGTCCTATTTAAAGGGCCTTAAGCCTCATTCTAGCCACCCATGACACCTTAGATCTCTGAGAAAAACCCTAGACCAGCTCCATTCGATTTTGTGAGAAAAGAGAGACTAAATTGGGTGATCTTGTGCCTTTGTGTAAAGAGACTTTGGAGAGCAACACGA